GAATAGAAATGCTACATGGCCAGCGGAAAAGGGCGGACACCAGCAGTGACAGACCTGGGAAACAAATGCATAGAAATGCTACACGACCAGGGGAAAACGGCGGACACCACCAGTGACAGATTTGGGGGACAAACGAATAGAAATGCTACATGGCCAGTGGAAATGGGCGGACACCAGCAGTGACACAAAGGGCGGACACATCTTAAGTGGGAGACAAATGAAAGGAAATGGGAGACAAGCCGGCCGGGAACCCGACCACAAGCACCGAGGCTGGGAGACAAATGAAAGGAAGTGGGAGACAAGCCAGTCGGGAACCCGACCACAAGCACCCAGCCTGAGAGACAAATGAAAAGAACTGGGAGACAATTGAAAAGAAGTGGGAGACAAATGAAAAGAAGTGGGAGACAAATGAAAGGAAGTGGGAGACAAGCCAGCCGGGAACCTGACCACAATCACCCAGCCTGGGAGACAAATGAAAAGAACTGGGAGACAAATGAAAGGAAGTGGGAGACAAGCCGGCCGGGAACCCGACCAGACCATCCAGCACCAAGGCGACCATTCTTTAAAGCATTGAGAACCCCTAACAGTAAACTGTTTGGGGAATAAAAAACAGTCTTTTCGCGACACCTCAAGTTGCCTGTTTTTTTGTGTAACTAGCTGGCTGTCCCCAGGCAGGCTCCGAGTGCAAGTCTTTTTCATCGATGCCATTGTCGAGCAAATCAGCGGCGGCGCACCCATCCGACATGGAGCTGCCACAACTACGCAACAAACGCCAACTCAACACCAACAGTCACCAACAGAAAAGGACTTAGTTTCTGTTTTTCGAAAAAGAAAGCCTCAACCACACTTTGCACCAAAGTGTGAACAACGAAAAACGAGTTTCTAACACCTGCTCCCAGTTTACCCAGCCACGATCTGAATCCTGTTTCGTGAACAAAAGAAACTCAAGGGTCAGAACAATCACGAGTTAAGCCGTCTACGTACTGGTCTAAAGAAAAAGGGCTGACGCACCACAAAGGCAGAAAACACAAACACGAGGAGGACAAGGAACACCCGACAACCGAAACAACAAAACTAAAGCACACACCGTGGCTACGTCTTGAGCCTTCATGCTCATGAGACGTATGTGAAAACAAGAACGAAATTACAGCACCCCCGCATGTTTTCTGTTTTTGGGCTCCCGTTTACGCTATTGCTTCACCTTGGTTACAGTATCTTGCGATATGCTCTTACGCAATGCATTGAGATGCCATAACATTTGGCTCAAGGTATGTGCGTGTGAAAACAGCTGCTCGATCGCCTTCGCTCACTCGCTCGTTGGACTGTGAGTTGAATCCACGGATACTATGTATTACACGCTCCACTGCGGGGAATTTGACCCTCACCCCACCCCCCCACCCCCCCCCAACACCATGCGATGACATGACCAAGCGTCGTGGAGTCCAAAAATGTCAGAAAAGTGGGTCCGGTTTTCAGTCCCTAGGCATAAACTACCCCAATGGTAGGTATAAATATATATATATATATACAGTATATATATCTCATATGTCTCTCAGAGGAGCCCATCACAAGAGCGTGGCCAAAACGCAGGACATCGGGTGTCCTGCGTCCGGAGACCCCGGTCAATGAATGCGAAACTAGGGATCACTGTTGGTCCTGCTTCGGTGGAGCCACATTGAGTTCAAATGGTATAAGTATGGTTACATCATTGTAAAACTAAAAAACATTATATAACATTCTATATAGCGTGAGAGTGTTGCACTAACAGAACAGTAGACAATGATACACAAGAGACACTTTGTTTAATCTCTCAAGATTTCTCAAGTGGCAACCGTGTGCCAGAATCAACGTATATATTCATATGTATACACATATACATTAATATATTATACCTGGAGGGCTGGCCGATTCGGAAGACCTGCAACTGCAACAATGAACGGAAGACCCTCTACAGCAACGTTCTCCAGGCACTTTGCTGGGTCTGGGCATGTATCTCTTTGCCCCGGAGTTCTTGCAGTTTGTAGGCGAGCCTCGAATTTTGTTCCTTCCAGCTTTGGGCTGAAATGGATCCGTGCAACTTATTTTTTGCATTTCCCAAAGTGGGTCCAACACTTGACTGAATCCTGCGGGCACCGATTTCGAGGAAAGAGATAGACCCCCACCACATATCCTTTAAACAAACAACACCAAATGAAGATTCTTGCACTTCCCTGCTATATTGCTGACATTTGCTGACCCTTGCAGCATGGACGAAACCAGGCAAAAACCAACTGCCGACGGCCGCAAAAGCCGAGCCCGGCGTTTCCCCAAAAAGCATAGTAGGCCGAGACACATCAAGACGGACTTCCCCGCCATGCCATCTTGCTAGGCCCTTGAAGGGTTGGCCCTGAAGGAATTGACGTCGTGTCACCATCCGATCCGAAGAGCACGCCCGTGGGTGGGTTCCAAGGCATTAAAGACTCTTTTCTCTGAAATAGGAGACTTCCCGTTTGACAGCTCCCATTGTCCTGGTTCCAACCTTCAAAAAAGGACACGTATTTTTGAACATGACTTTATGATACTTATGAACATTCTAAATAAGCTGAATGTCTCAAACCCGTTACACTTTGGGGATCGAATCCCACCCATTTCTGTGTGGCAGCTCTTCTTTTGCACCCCCTTTGCTTCGGGCAAGCTTCTTTGGAGTTAAACACTTCCGCACTTCCTCTGGGAAAAAAGTCCAATCTTCAAGTGACCGTATTCAATCTTCAACTTCTCTCGTCTTCCAAGTGGTCAGGTTCATTTCTTTGTTCATCAAGTTGCTTTTCCTTGGGGAACCAGCGAGACATGGGGGGGGACTTGGATCCAAACGCGGCTCGTCTCCACGGAACCCCTCTGAAAAAAGGAGAGGCTGCCGGAGGCCCCGTTTGCAAATGAAGACTTTGACACCAAGGGACCTTGTTTGGAATTTTTGCCCTATCTTCTCCACGAATCTGGAGAACCGAAAGATCTGCCAACACAATGATCATTTAGTTCATGATATCTCAATGATCAGATCCTTCAAATGCAACCTTTGCACATTAGTACAGGGTGTGTGGAGTGTGGCCATTTTTTCAAGGCACACCCTGAGAGGGTGGCTTAGAACTCCCACGGATTCCCAGGGCGCATAAACAGAACCAACTTGTCAGCAGTCATCTTGACACAAATGACGAATCTGCCAGGAGACTCTATCAAGATCTGTTCAGTACCTTGAAGACAAGAGTATCTCGTGCATTCGCCTTAGTCTCTGCACCGAGACTTGAACCGCTGAGCCGAAACCGGGTGTCCCAAACGTCGTCCGGAATGTCTCGGCGATGAGCACATACAAAGACCATCATCTCTGGCTGGAGCTTGCTGTCCTTCCGAAGCGAGGGAAACACGGAGCTCCTAGCAATCTTTGGGCCTTTCATAGCTTTGCATGGCTTTGCAGGAACTTCCCACCACTCAAGATTCATAAGATTCATGGATTCGAAATGATTCTGTGAGTGGAAAAGCACACGACCCAAGGCATACCTTTTTTCGTGAAGGTCATGAACACCTGAAAAGGTGAACCACCGGTCAAAACGACCTGCGTTTGGCTCAAGGAACAACGTGAGCGGCTGTGTTTTGTCGGTCGCTCTTGAGGCTTTTTCCATAACCACAGGTTATGAGCCCAAAGAGCGTGTGAAGTCCACCCTCATTGTTGAGGTCGCTGGTCCCCATGAGCGGATTTGCCTCGCGCCGGCGTCGTGCCTCACGAGATGGTGGCAGGCTGCGGGATCCGGGAGATCGTGATGGGCAGTTGAGAGTGGGCGCAGCAGATGAGAGGCTCGATGCCCTCCTCGAAGAGGCGCGAGCGACATCCATGCCTCCTGCAGTGAAGAGGGTGGGTGGTGTACCTGCGGCGGCTGATGGCCGGAGAACCTCAGCGGCAGCTGGCAGGGCTGATGGTGGTCGGCAGCCTCCTCTCGTGGAAAGGCAAGAGCGAGGAGCTGGCTGGCAGGAGACGGTGAGGCAATCCCTTGAGGTGTTGCAAAGGGCCTTTGGACCGAATCCCCAAGGACCGATGCCGGTGGGACCTCCGCCTCCTGAAGGACTTCTTGGACCTCTATTTCATGGCCGCGATCCAGGACACCCTCGCGCTGATGATCCGGGACAACCTGGAGGGCAAGGGGCTTGGCAGCGGGAGGCAGCGTCATCGCCTCAGTTTCCAATTCCGCCGAGAGTGGACAGGAGCAGCATGAATGGTGAAGGTGGTCCACAACCTAGAGTACTTGAGCCCTACGACATGTCCACACCCCATCAACATGGGCGGCAGCAGACCAATCCTTTTTGGAGTGACCGTGGACGTGCACCTGATGTGGCATCCCGTTCTGAACGTCCTCGACCCCCTAGTGAAGAGGTGAAGAGAAGCCCGACGTCTCAGGAGCTGGAAGCCATTCGGGAGCGCATCCTTCGTGAAGCCCACTTGAACTTTGAGAAGGAGGTCAAGAAGCTGACAGGTGGTGGAGGTTCGTCGACGTTTGAATCGGCGAATAGTGTGGGCGAGCGGGCAAAACTTCGTGGTTCCACTGATGGTCAAGGTGGAAACTCTGGTGATGGTGTTGGTGAGTCACTACCTGATCGACCCCCTGGATTACATGAGACCACATCCGGGACATTGTCTTCAGGGGTTGGTGGTGGAGCAGGAAAGGTGACCAGGATTGGGGCTGGAATTCCCGTGGCGTCGACGACCGAGGCTCTGCGAAATTTGGAGCTTCCCTCACTTCCAGCGCCCAATGAAGAAGGAGCTTCGATTCTCTTCGGCGACTGGCTGACTATGGCATTCCCGCTGATGGCTGACATCTCCAACTCGGCGAAGGCCTGGTGGGAAGAGTCCTTGATGGTGGCGCAGGAGCACTACTCCCGGTGGCTGCGATTGAGTCCGCTGGAGAGGCTGAGATCGAAACCTCAAGTCGAAGTGGATCCAGCATTTCAACGGATTGAACAGCGTGGAATTGCCATGCTACTTGGAGCACTACCTGATCAGCTTCGTCGGGACTTGGTGTCTGGCAGGCAGCTGTCCGTGGTGCACATCTTGTACCGGCTCCATGTGGCGTACCAGCCAGGAGGCGGCGCTGAAAAAACGCAACTCCTCAAGAATTTAGTGGAGTCGAAGTTCTCCACATCGGTGGGAGAATTGTTGATGCAGGTCCGGTTGTGGCGACGTTGGCTATCTCGTGCTCAAGAACTTCACCTCAACCTTCCGGACCCTCTGGTCCTCATGCACGCCCTGCAGCGCATGATCGACAGCACCCAAAAAGCAGGCGGCACTCAGGTGTCATTCAGGATCTCAAATGTTCGTCAAGAACTCCGAGTTGACTATGCAGCTTCATTGGAAGGAGTCACTGAGCTAGCTGAGTATGTGCAGGCGGAGATCGAAGAAATGTCCCTCACTGCAGCTCAGAAGGGTGGTGCACCACTGGCTCAGCCGGCGGCCTCGTCCAATCAGGCAGCCTCGACGTCACTGAAGGCTATGGCATCGTCGTTTGGAGCGGCTGAGAATGAAGAGCGAGCAGGAGGAAAGCTTGCTTGCAAGTTCTGGAAGTCGGAGGAAGGCTGCAGGAGAGGAACATCTTGCACCTATGCCCACGACACCTCGGATATGAAGAACCGGTGCTATGGTTGCGGTGGGAACCACATGAAGCGTGAATGTCCTCACCAATCCAAGACTGGAAAGACTGATCCAAAGAGGGTCTCAAAGGTGAAGGCCACGAAGGATGGAGAGAAGGGGGAGATCGTCGAGAAGATCGCCAAGGAGCAGCCCACAAGTGAAGAGCCGTCTCCGGGGTCATCGCCGCCTCCTACCACGACCACTTCGAGAATGGCAGGAACACCTGAGAAGCCACTGGGTCGGGAAACCACGGCAGAGTTGCTGTCGGAGGCAACATCGTTGCTCAAAACACTTCGGAGCATGAAGGTGCTTCGTGTGAAGGAATTGAAGCCGGTTGGCACTGATGGTTTGGCACCTGTTGGACTGCTGGATGGAGGGGCGACCAATGGTCTTCGTCGAGCACATGAGCAGGAGCTGGAAAGAATGTACCCGGTGAGGGTGGAGTTGGCCTCAGGGTCAGCGACGTTGTTCAGGGTGGATGACCACAAGACCTTGCTATCCAAGAACCACGTGGAGGTCATTGTCCCACTCCATCGACTGGTGGGTCTGGGGTATCGGCTTCAGTGGACGGCGGCTGGAGTGAAGATCAACCACCCTGTTCATGGCAGGATTGACTGCGCGCTTCGTGGGGGATGTCCGGTTCTACCTGAGGCCAAGGCGCTGGAGTTGCTCAGCACTATGGAGAAGGCAGATCGGGGGGAGATCTTCACTGATGATGAGGTACGATCATGGTGGTCATCAAGATTCCCTGAGGTCCCTGCGGAGGTGTGGGAGTTCATGAAGGGCCAGGACAGCTTTGATGCTTGCACTTGCCCTTGGAATCGACGTCAGCGGCGACGACACCTGGCGTCTCGTGGTGTGATTGTCAACCTCTTTGCCGGGAAGGACTATAAGAGTTGGTCTAAGACGGACTGGGGTGGCTTCGAGATTGTGAATGTGGACGTGACGATGGGCGCACAGTTCGACCTCCATGGCATTGGAACTTGGGGTTACCTATGTCATCTAGCTCGACGAGGCTTGGTCGTTGCTGTGTTGGGAGGGCCGCCGTGTCGCACGGTGTCACGGTTGAGGCACCGAGCTCCGGGTCCACGTCCCTTGAGAGGTCGAGATGACCGCAGGTTCATGCTGGAGGGACTTTCTTCGCCAGAGCAGGAGCTTGCCCTCAGCGATTGTGCGTTGATGATGAAGCAGATTGGTCTGTGGCTCCTCGCTGATGAGCATCGTGGAGGACGACCAGCACCTGGATTCCTGATGGAGTCACCAAGAGACCCCATGGATTACATGTCAACTGAGGCCACCAAGGAGGACATGCCGAGTTTCTGGAACTTTGAGGAAGTGAAGAAAGCCAGAGAGCTGATGGGCGCCTCCTTGCTGACCATGGATCAAGGGCCTATGGGCCATGTCAAGAGAAAACCAACATGCTTGATGGTCGCCAACCTCCCACAGATGAAGGAGTTAGATGGCGTGTCTGGAGAAGGTAGAGGAGAAGTTGAAGCAACATCGCTCACTGGGAGACTGGCTCAATCGAGGGAGTGGTCGTCCTGGGCACCGGGCTTGGTGGCAGCGGTGAAGGAGTGCTTGAAGAACTTCCTCCTGGACTACAGGCGCAGGTGGAATGCGGAGGAGATTGTGCACCACGGCGAACCTGGAGTGAAGCGAATGAGCATGGAAAGTTGGAAAACCCATGTTCGAAATCAACACCAACCCTACAGGAGGGATTGTCGGCGATGCATGGAGCTGATGGGCGTGGATGCACCGCACCGGAGGACATCAGGAGATCGATCAGCTTACTGCCTGTCCTATGACATTTGGGGACCAATGCCACTGGGAGATGATGTGGGCTTGAGCACAAAGGCGAAGTACATCATGGTGGCAACGGTGGCCATTCCAAAGCTGCCTCGTGGTTTGGGGGGAGATGGAGATCATCCGCAAGAAGATGATGAAGACCGCCCTGACGATCGAGAAGATGGTGAACAAGGTCTTGCCGATCAAGGAGGCGATGGAGATCCCGCCAATCAAGAAGTTGGCGAACAGGTTCTGCCTCAGCTTGATGAGGTCGAAGATGAGGTCCGGGTTGCGGAGGAGGATGCGGTCGCTCTCAATGAAGGCTGGAGAAAGCACATTGATGATCTGGCTGCGCCTGTGGGAGTTCAAAATATCACACTGGTGGAGCCCCTGGAGTCGAGAGGTCAACACGATGTCACAAAGGTGGCCACAAGGATGTACTGCCGCTTCAAAGCGATGGGGCTGAAGATCATCCGTGTCCACACCGACAGAGAGTGCGCTTTCTTCTCCAAGGTGTTCCAGTCCTTCTGCCGGCGATTTGGCCCTTACCAAACTATGACGGGGGGTGATGAAGGCCCCTCAAATGGGAGGATTGAAACAGAGGTGCAGCAGGTTAAAAGACGGCTTCGGATGTTGGTCAGAGAAAGTGGCCTTGGTGAAGAGCTGTGGCCTGGCATCGCTCGCTATGTTGGCGAGGAAAGACTGCGGCATCAATGCGTCAAGCTTGGAGTCCCTTGCACACCGCTGATGCCAATTGGAGCCCGTGTCACTGTGAAAACCAAAAGGTGGCACAGAGCTGGTTTTGGGCCTTTGATTCCGCCCTTTCGCACGATGACCATCCTCGGACCATCACCTTTCATGACGGAGGGCTATGTGTTGAGGGAAGGTCAACAAGTTCAACACGCACGTGTGGTTGTCCTCAATGACCCGATGGCTGATCGAGCTGTTCTGGAACTTCAGGAAGCTTCCGATCCGTCGCGCCCTTCGCACCGGGTGATGGGGAAACAGCCGCCTGACCCGTGCTTGCCGCAGATTCCGGCACCAAGATTGAGTGATGATCTACACCTTCAAGCTCTTCAAGCTGAACGTGGTTTGGGGGGAGAGCACAAAGAAATTGGTCCAGCCCGTCACTTCGTTTGGTCTGGGGGGGAGTCTCTCCTCCTGAAAAGCAGTGATGGTGGTGAAATTCGAAAAGGAGATGACGGTGCACACAGTGAACCATGGGTGTGTGGTGAATGTGGTCTTCAAGTGCTCCCGGTGAAGTATGGTGACCAGCGGGAGTATGTGATTGGCAAGTTGAAGGAGGTGAAACAGTGTCGTTTTTGCGAAACACCATTCGAAACTCCAGGCAATGAAGTGATGCTGGGGCGTGTGGAGTGTGAGATGAACGAGGCACTGAAGCTCCGTGAACGTGGAGAAGAAGAACACTGGAGCTGGAAGCGCCTATGGTCGGACCTCGCAAAGGATGTGGTGGTAGGTGAAGATGAGGGGACAATGCAGGGCTACATCCTCGACTATGTGGAGAAGATGGTCTTGGAGATGGAGAACAAGTTGACTGACATGCGAGGTGATGATGAGAAGATCCAGATAGCGGCAATGGCTATGGAAGTCTCGCAATCGCCGGAGCAAAGGGCAGTCCACTCGGTCCTGCAAACCTACACGGTGCCCCTAGCACAGGTTCGAAGAGATCTTCCACTATGGATTCCGCCTCTCAAGAACGAGGTTACATCGCTGGAAACGTCAACCACAGCTGTTCGGCCTGTGAAGGTGAAGGATTTGGTGAATGAACCGGGCTATGAAGAGATGCTGGTCGTCCCATCGAAGGTTGTCCCGACGGTGAAGGCCCCGGATGCTCGCAAGAAAGCCCGTATCGTTCTGTGTGGCAATTTGGTGGAGGACACCTCAAAGCGTCGAGAACAACCTATGGCCCTGGAGGATCGTCAAGATGACCAACCGCCTCAACAGAAGACCATGGGAAGCAGTTTTGATTTATATGCCAGTGGCATCGATGGCATGTCATTGAGGTGCACGTTGCGAAAAGCGGCTCAGGAGAAGTGGTCCATCGGGGTTACTGATGTCTCTACAGCGTTTTTGCTTGCACCTCGGAAATCGTCCAGGCTCATGGTGACAAAGCCGCCGTCCATCCTGGTAGAGGCTGGACTCATCGAGCCGGACATCCGCTGGGTGATCGAGAAGGCGGTCTACGGCCTGGACACATCTCCCTCTGACTGGCAGGCCTACAGGGATGAAGCGCTGCAGAGCATGCGGTGGTGGGAGGATGGGGTGCACAACTGGGTGGTTCCCACTCCGGAGCCCAATGTGCGGCGACTGATGACTGCACCTGGAGGTGAGGAGGAATTTGTGAAGGTGATGGATGATGGGTCAACGGCAGGGTATGCTTTGTCCTATGTCGACGACTTCATTGTCACTGCTCCTCGTCCCACGGCAGAACGTTTCCTGAAGAAGCTCTCAACCATGTGGAAGTGCGCCGAGCCAAAATGGGTGACTCAGCACCAGTGGTTGAAATTTTGTGGCATAGAGATGAGGTGGAAGGGTGATGAATTGTTGGTGGGGCAGCCTGACTACACGCGGGAAATTGTTAGTCGGTATCCTGACCTTCAGCCTCGCCAAGTTCCCCTCCCGAAGCTGGATGATGTGGACCTGGAGGACGAAATTCTTCAGGAGGATGTGAAAAAATGTCAAACCATCATCGGTGAGCTTCTTTGGTTATCGACACGCACAAGGCCTGACCTGAGCTTTGCGGTCTCCTACCTGGGCTCCAGGGTGACAAAATGTCCAAAGAAAGTGCTCAAGTTGGCTCATCATGTGGTGGGGTACCTCATGAACACCCTTGACTATGCGCTTGTCTATAAGCCGTGTTCCGAGGAGACGGACTCCTATGGCCGGCGGAGCTCGATGTCCAGGCTGGAAGTGGTGGCAGACTCGTCGTTTGCACCAACTGGAGGAAAGGGTCATCAGGGCATCATGTGCCTGTGGGGTGGTGCTTTGGTGGCATGGGAATCAAAAACTCAGCCCTTTGCAACGCTGAGTACAACTGAATGTGAACTTCTGGGGTGTGTTGATGGCCTCACCCTTGGAGAAAGTGTTGGAGCGATTGTCAACGTCCTCGAGCAAAATGCACTGGCCCATGAAGGTTGCTATGTCTTGCGAGGCGACAATTTGTCGGGTTTGCAGCTGCTGCATGCCCCAAGCGGGCCCTGGCGGACGAGGCATCTTCGGCTCCGCAGCCACGTTTTGAGGGAACGGTTGCAGATGAAGCTGTGGCATGCAGAGCACATCCCTGGCGCTGACCTATGCGCTGACCTGTTGACCAAGGCGATCACTGTGCCTCGGAGCTGGGAATCATTTGCTTCTACGGTGGGGCTTGTGTCGGTGGAGCCGGAGGCGTCTGCTGAGGACCCTGCGCTTTCTCGCTTGAAGAAGTTGGCGTTGGGTGCGGCGGTGGCGTTGGGACTGTTAGTGGTGGCTCCAGGCCTGGGCACTGCGGTCCGAGCGGCATCGGTGTGCGGCTTGGCAGCGTTGACGGCATTTGTGCACAAGAAGTGTTCGAAGACGGCGGATGGCCAGTCAACAAAGAGGTCTAACGCATCCCATTCAAAAGAAACATCAAGATGGTCGAGGGAAAATGAACCCGGCCCTATCGAATGCGGGAGGAACACAACCTATAGAACCTCCCCGCCCGTCGATCGCCCGATTTCGTTCGACTGTTGCCGGACCGGCACCCCGAGGGTTACCAAGGGTTTTGCTTCGCCTTGCAGCCATGGCCGAATGCGGATGTGCGCCATGAAGGCGCCGCCGACCAAACCGCCGCCTAGGCATGTGGGCTTGGGAACGGATGAGCCTTGGGAGCTTGCTCGCTTCATGTCGCCGCCGACTGGCCTGGACCGGTGGGAATGCCTTGGATGTGGCACCGCCAGTGGTGATTGGTGGGTGAGGGTTCTCAAGAGGCCCAGGGTGCGGCAGTTCCATCCGCTCCACAGGGGGACGCCTGTTTCGATCGGACGTCTCTCGCCAACCCGGATCACTGTGGCCTTCAGCCGGGGGAGGGCAAGAGAAGCCTGGCGTCGACGATGCATCATCGATGACTGGGTGGAGAACAGAAATTCGGATGTCAGAGACTGCTATGAATGGTGTGGCTACACGTTCCTCTTCGAGAAGTTTGGCCCAGAGGCTGGTGCTGCGGAGGGCGAGGAAGCGTTGTCTTCGCAGGCTCAAATGCCGCTGCGGCCTGGAGCCGGAGGATCTCAACCCCGTGAAGGGTATGGAGGTGATGGCGGCACTTCTTCGCATGCTGCGGAGAGGGGTCGGAAAGCTATGGAGGCCTTAACTGGTACTTCATTTCAAATGTCACGTGCCTATGACGGCACGGCAATCACCGCACGAGTCAATGTGACCTTGGAGGGTGTCCCCGTGAGCGGCTATGAGGCAAGGCGCCTTGGGTGCTTGAAAAGGGGAGAGATCGGGCCGTCCGCTTCGTCGAGGGCGGTGGATCTGAATGAGGAGGCTTGGAGGGTCTCGCTGGAGAGTGAGCGGTTAAGTCCGCCGGAAGCTGATGATCTGCCCATTTGGATGGGCGTTGAGACGCCATGTGTGAGGCCTCCTGGCCTAAGCCACGACAGCGAAGACTCGCGGTCGGTTGGAAGCTTTGAACTTTTGGGTGACGCTGCAGAAGAAAAAACCTGCAGTGGAGCCCCATGAAGCCATGTATGCTGGCACCTTTGACCAGCATAGGGGGAGTGTGAGTGGAAAAGCACACGACCCAAGGCATACCTTTTTTCGTGAAGGTCATGAACACCTGAAAAGGTGAACCACCGGTCAAAACGACCTGCGTTTGGCTCAAGGAACAACGTGAGCGGCTGTGTTTTGTCGGTCGCTCTTGAGGCTTTTTCCATAACCACAGATTCGAAATGACAAAATATTCCAGAGCAGCTGAACGGAGGGGTGTCGCATACCTGCAGAAGAAAACATTCTGGAACAAACATTCCAAATTAACTATACCAACAGGTATGGGTATACCCCAGAATATTTAACTAAGGCCCCCCCCCATATTCGAGGACATAAATCGAATGCCCGACTCCCTGTCGCATCGGTCGCATCTGCCCTGCGTTTCGGTCCAAGCGCCAAACCAAACTATCCCAAACTCCAGGATTTCGTAGCTGTCGGGAGAGTGGAAACTGTTTTTGAATCATCTTTGGGGTTGCCTGCAGAAACGCTCCATGTCGCCTGAATGGTGTGATCCCTTGAAGGAAAACCAGCTCTTTTTCTGGCAACCCGAGTCCGGTCAGTTTGCTTGGTTCCTCGAGGATGATGGGTGTCATGTAGATGTAGACTCCCACCTGAGCCAACGATTGTGTAGGTAGGCATCACAAATGAGACCTATCAATATCTTTGTTCAACCATCCGGTTGAGAGAGTTCCCGAACTCATGGGGATACCCCTAACGGTCCCAAACCCTGAAAATTCTGGTGTGACATGGGGTCTCTCAGTGCTTCTTTTATCATCATGCGCGGAATGTGGCCCGGCCGGCCGGGTGACCAGAGGCGACCAGTGTCGTCATCCAAGCAATCCAAGAGACAACCACATGAAAACCGCCTGTCATCCACCTTCCCCAAAGCGTTTTCTCCGGTGAAACGTGGTCCGAACGTGGTCACCATGGGGATTGGGTCCTCGAAACGTTGCCACGAAACGTGGGCCTGAAACCGCAAGGGGTGAACTTCCGCGGTTCCGCGCTTCGCCGTGGAATGCTGGGCTTCCAACGGGAACCTTCACTTGGATCTCCTGGACAGATCTTTTGCGGTTCGCATCGCCCGAGAGAGATGTCTCGGGGAGTCTCGAGGCGGAATTGGTTGCATTATGTTGCATTCCAAGGATCCACCGTGTGTTGATTTGGTATATCCTTGTTCCCACAGATCTCTATTCGATCTATTCATGCTTCACGTTGCGCTGACAGGTATGACAGTGTAGGGTTTGGCTGGCACTCACGAAGAAGTTGCTTTACAATGATTTAGGATACCTGTAGTCTCATAGTATTCTCCATGAAGGTACTGTGGATAAAACCAAATTCTGAACCGCCTGCAAGCCAAGAACACGAAAACCTAGCTCAGCATTGTCCAAGAAACACCAAACAACTTTCACCCCGGAAACAGGTGACATTCGTTCAATCTCACCTTGGACCAACTCAAGACTGCGCCCATCCACATGCTGGTCGTTTTTGTGTTTTCAGGCAGATGGCATTCGATTCTCAGGGCTATTGAATACACGACATCTTGATTGTAGCTCAAAACATCCAAGACATGGTGGAACCTCGGTTTTTGAAGCCCTAAAAGAACTCCCCCAACATGTCCCTGGTGGAACGTCCACTATGTCTTTTCGCCCACATTCGGGACGTGGGATCGCCCGCCTCGCTCACGTTCCGCTCCTGCGGCTGCTAGGCCCGTGGCCCAGAAGGTGGGAGATGGGTGGCGAAGCGGTGGGTTCGCCCGCCAGCTTGGGAGGACGAAGATCCATGGGCCGGCATGCGGCATGGGGTCTCCATGATAAAAAGCCAAGCACATAGGGGGCTAGGCGCCCAGCCGATTCCTTTCCAGACTTACCAAGTCTTCTCCCGGAACAACTTCTAAAGATAGTCTTCATACAGTAACTATTCGCTGCTTCAAGAGTAACCCTCTTGAAGTCACTGATCCAGGCAAAGAATCCGTGTTTCTCGAAATAACGATACTGAATTATACTGAACGTATCAACGCTTTGGCAGTGTAGAATATTCCCTTTATTCTCCATGAGCCTCAAAACAAATCAAGTTGATCCACCCTTTCTGTGAATCAACATCTTACCCTGACCGGATTCAGCCACGTTTTCACGTGAGCAGGCGTAATAGATCAAAAAGCCTTGGGTATATAAATGCATGGAGACTTTAGTCTTGATGACCGGCTACTCCCCTTGTCCACTTGTCTTCATCAACGGAGCCAGTGCGAATCGACGGAGCCAGTGTGTCTGCGGGTGAAATGTCAAACGCCGGAGTTATGGGTACTCATAGATAGGTATACTACTCATAGGAGTTATGAGTACTGACTACTCATAGCTATACAGAATACCTATCCATGAAATTCTACAAACGTATTTCTGCTGAGCTATTCCGCTGTGCTATGCTGTGCGACAGCAAACCCCACAACTCGAGACTTCTCCAAGGCTGCAGCTTCGACGGGCGGTCGGCCTCCCCAGGTCTAAAGTCCAACTTCAGCTGCATCAAGGGCCGGCCGCTCATCTGGAAGGCGGCCTGGACGCCGTGTTCTCTGCTGAGGGCCCTGAGAGCCACAGGGCGGTCGAAAACAAGTTGTACAAGTAACATGTTGTAAACCTTTTGGCCCATCGAACCAGCATGCAAGTAGAATGCAAAAAAACAAGCCTTCGGTTTCTGGGTTTCGCAATGGCTAACTCAGAACATGGCCATCACCATCAGTTTTTAGCGAACCGACCGACCAGTTTCGGTGATACAAAGCTCCCTTTCAGCGGCGTTCTGCGGACCCTCAGTGCCTCCAACTCTCTTGGTGGCACCAAGACCTCTAGCTCTGCCAGGCCCTGAAGAAAAGGATACTTCTCGCTCCGTGGTCCGTATTCCACCAGCGGAGCACGACGACAAAAAAATACGTGCCGATGTGGACGATCACAAGCTGGGAACAAAGAGGTTTGGGAACAACACGGGATGTTTGCAGTGTTCTCTTTCTTCGATTCTTATAGACTCTATAGACAGTTTTTTTTTTCCTTCGGAGCGAACCGATGCAGCGAGCCGCACACCGAAGAGAGGCATCGAGCCGCAGGCGACTCTTGAGCCAACACAAAGAGTTTGTGACTTTGCCATAGTGGCGGTAGACGCACTTGAACCTACCAGGTTCGGGTAACATTTATGCAAAAAACATAAAACCAAATGAACCCCAAGCAAATCCTTGGAAGTCCAAAGACTATATTATATCTGGCCCCACCCCAAAACAAGGGCATTCCTTTTCAGGTCACCTAAAGAGCATTTTAACAATCAGTATTGGACTCGTGCGCACATCGTTGAGAACTCTGGCCAACTTGGCGAACTCAGCCGGCCATCGCTCATCCTTGTCTTCCTGAGAAAGGAGGGCCTTTGTTGAAAGAACCGCAAGGAGCTCGCAACGCTTGGGAGCTTGTTGAAATACAACAGTAGATAGTGAAGACATCGAATTCAGAGGCGAGTGACCCAGAAGTTGGACGACATGTCTTTTAGGAATCTGATCAGGTTGTTGGAGTCATTCATGAGCTAAGTACCGGGCATCCGAGCAAACACCATGATGCAGCTCTCAAATCAGGATCCCCTTCACCTCCGCAGTATTATCGCAGAATTTGAGAACACTCGGACTTTTTAGCTAGAGAGAACCCGGTGGGGGCATGTGGAGGCTCTATTAGCCCTGGGCGGTTCCGCTAAGCACCTCGTTGACGACAGTCTCACCAAGCCGGATGCCATCCTCAGCCCGTTTTTTGCTGTCGGACGTGTTCATGGGTTGGTACATTTTTTGGAATTCGGACGCAGTGCTCCACTAATTACTCGGACTTAGGGCAAACATGCTTTTTAGGGAACTCAAAATGGGCCTCATGCATTGACTGACCATATGTACGACTATGTACTCCCGCTTATCTGTTTAGGCTACCGTTCAAACGTCCCTATTCCGCTAGGACTAGGACTCTTTCGTGCACCTGACACCCTAAGAGACGAAATATGCATACATGATCATGCATTGTATATAATAATATATATGGCACGCCCCGCACATGTAGCACCAAGGTATTAGCAACACATGAAAAAGGTAGATCTTGGGGGGGCACCACAAAAAAATAAGTACAATATGTTGTATCAGAAAGGAGCGCTCTCAGCGGCGCGTTTTTGCATGACTGTGTTCAAACATCTTGTGACACATCTTGTGTGAGGTTTGCCTCTCTTGAGGCGCTCCCCTCTCTGATGGAGGTAGTTGCTTGAGGTCAGCTGTCTGGGGCCTAACTCAAACCTGACGTACCCCACCGATCATTATTAGGGTTAGAAGTGGTCATGTCTTGGAGCCTGAAGCCATCCTGGTGTTGTGTCACACCAACCCAACCAGCACCCTCCAGGTGGCCCGGCCGCCAGCACGTCCACCCGTCCAATGGCCACGTGGCAGCAGGAGGTGGCCTGCGAAGTTTGGGCATGGCACACTTTCCCAAAAAGGAGGCCACGCAAAGATCTGAAAAGGAGAGCTGCAAGAAGTACCTCCCTAGGAGCAAGGACGCTACTAGGGGCCTTACTACTAGGAACAAGAAGCTACCAGTAGCAAAGGGCATCGCTACTAGGAGCAAGGACGCGAGAGTAGGCCACACCAGGATCTGAAAAGGAGAGCTGCAAGAAGTACCTCCCGTCCAAAAAAAACAGTCCTACATGGTCCAACCAACTGCGCCTCTGACCACTTCTGAGAGTTGGAAAACAAACCAACTTGTACAATCTGCTGCACTTGCTTGTTTCCTCCACCGCGCCGTGCGCAGCCGCTCCTTCTTTTTGTGGTTTGGGACGTAGCGGCGTTCTCTGAAACAACATTCCTGCCTTCTTTGAAGCCTTCCTTCTGGGTCTCACAGACCTGACAAAGCCTAGGCCTATGCCCCAGACCTGGTGCTCAAACAGTAGGAAGTGAAAACCATGAAACATGCAGCTAACCTTGCCCTCCATGTTTTTTGCACCAACAGGCAGGGCTCCTTCAAAATGCCTCTGTGAACCGAGCGGTCGTGGTCACTCAACAACACACCTCCGACTGAGCGGTCGCGCCGACCCGCTTCGGTCGGGGATCTTGGACCCCGAACGCTTTCCACACGCAAGGTGCCAGTGGGCGGCGCCCAAGCGAGGACCTCCAGCCGACGCTTGGCTCATTCCGATCCGATCCGACGAAGCTCGTCCGAAGGCGGTGAAGTCGAAGCCGAGACTTGACGAGAAGACGTCCGGCCCAACTAATCGTCTTATGTCAAGTCTTACGAATTCTAGAAATTAACACTCTTTGAATCTCACAAGCTCACCCCTTTGGTAGGCCATAGGCCTCGTTTCCGGTTCTTTGATCAGTCCATCTGGCCAAACTGACCAGGCCGCCCTGCCGGCAACATGGACCGGAAGCGTTGCCCACCCAGGCTCTCCGGCTGCACGGTCTGGGCAACACCGGGGTTCACGGTCACGACCCGAAACGTTTTGGAGGTCTGGAAGACGGAGTCCGTCTGTGTGGAGCCAAGGAGGAGCAAAACAACATACAATATCATACAAATTATAGTAACTTGAGGAGACGGGGGTGGACGAAAGGTAGCATGTCTGCGGCTGCTGGTTGCTGCTGGTTGCTGCTCCTGCTTGCTGTTGCTGCTGGTTACTGCTGCTGCTGGTTGCTGCTGCTGCTGCTGCTGGTTGCTGCTGCTGCTCCTGCTGGTTGCTGCTGCTGTTTGGCTGTTGCTGTTGCTACTTCTTGCTGGTTGCTGCTGTTGCTTGAATCCTGAAGACTGCTGCTGCTGCTTTGTTGTCCCCCCCCTTTCAATTTCGTCTGCGCAACCCCCCAAAAACTGAACGAAAACGAAGGGTTGTGGAGGCCAAACTTGTGTGAGCTTTGGTGCTTTGCTGCTGCTGCTGCTGCTGTCGTTGCTGCTGCCACTGGTGCCACTGCTGCTGCTTTCTGCTTTGCTGTGCTGCTGCTACTGCTGCTGCTGCTGCATTGCTGGTTTGCTGCTGCTGCTGGCTGCTTGTTTCTGCTCAGATCACTACCAAATTCTCCGCGGCGCAGGGTGGAGTCGAATGGGGTGGGGGGGGCCCCCCCCCAACATTTAAAACCAACTCTTAAACGACCGAAATCAAGCACGGCAACTCAGGTAGCGTAACCGCTACCTTTCGTGATTAGTATAATATATATTACAAACTATAGTAATTACAGTAGTATAATATATATCGATAGCATGTATTGTACTATACGGTCCTCTTTTCCCGGTCTTGGGCACAAAGGAATGACATATGACCTAGCATGGCGATAGTTGAAGGTCCAGCAGGTCCAGCATTGCAATGATCCCCGCTCTATGACCAAACGATCGGGATCTCTATGTCTGGCTGAGTCTCATTGGCCTGAGTACCATTCGAGCATAACTCAACCTACGAAGCCACCTGTTTTGAATGTGTTTGCTTGAAAGAAGCCAAACCCTAAACAACTCAACATCAACTGCTTCCCACTGCAATGAAAAAACACCCACCCATCAACCTTTGAATCACATGGCTCAGAAAGAACGTCGCTCGCGGGTGTTTTGCATCTTCCGTTTCGCCGTTCAAAGATTGTGAACAACAAGTTAATGGCTTTTGAGGGGGCCCCATATTTCCGGCCCCAGCCATACGCTATACTGAAGGAACGCAGCTGAAGATGTCCAGAAATGCATTCACATGGTTGTCTTATTCACGTGGGGGCCCTTTTGCTTTTCCTATATGTTTCCAGGTTTCAATCTCACGACCGCTCTACACACTGGACACCAGTAGAGCCCTGCCAGCTAAAGTGATCCAACTGGCTTTGTGCGATCTCTGACATGAACCCAATTGATTTTGGAGGCCAGCGCTATTATTTGAGGCCTCCAAAGAGGCTTCGGCCGTGCGGCCTGAGCTTCGGCCATGCGGCCTCGCTTCTTTCGCGTGGTCAAAGATGCCTCGAGACGTTGGGGCATCTTTTTCACCATGCGAGAGGCCAAAGTCCACTTCAATGGATGTTGGGTTCTCCATGCATCTTCCTGAAGTTACTGAACATCGTTGGAAAGGCACCCTCCCACCAAAAAATCGACTGGTCAACAAGACCCAAAAAAGAATAACAACTATCATATAAACATGTAGAAACCCATCGGTTTTCGGTGAAAACTGATGGGTTTCCACTAGATAATGTTGTTTTTATCCCAACAACTCCAAAAGCCTAGACCATTGCGGAGCCGGACTTCACCAAAGTCCACACCTCGCCGAGACGGTGGGATTTTCCGGTGGATCACTCGACTCGAAAGCGGTGGCCGAAACGGAACACCGTCAGCCTTCAGCCGTGTGCCTGACCAGGTCAGCCGTGTTTTCTAGGCGAAATGGCCACACCACGGGCTGAAAGATGCTAAAAGATTTAATGCTCAACACCTTCATGCTGAAAATGGAAAATGGAACATCTAGCCACTAGCCAAAACCCATCAGTTTTCACCCAAAACATCCCAAAACATCCTTAAGGCAATTCTGGTGTAAAAACAACCCTTCTGCAGGTGGTACAAGTAGTGGAGCTTGAACTGCTGGTCTTGTCAGTGTCCAAGTCTGCACAGGCCGCCCAGGCTTGACGTTCGAGGGTTGAAGCTGCGTCACCTGTCGGCATGGCCAACTGGTTCTGTGAAGTGGGAGCAAACCAGAGGTGGTCCAAAAACCCTCTACCTTTCCTATACCACTAGCCTTATCGTACAGTCTCTCTATGATTTTACAAGGCCTTGACTAGCTGCAACATTTGTAGACTTGTAGTGTACATTCGTGTGCAATGCATGCATTTGAACGCTAGTACATGTGTGGGCCATTGTCTACCTCGCCACCTTATCTTTATTGTCATAACATTGTTGTCGTTTTTTTGTGCCTCTTGGTTGTCTTTTTGGAGGGACATACCTGAGATGAGACAAGCGTGAAGGGTTCTCCATGTGCAGTCGCAGGGCAATCTTTTCCAGTTGATGGGGCATCCTTCTGGCAAATTGACATGCGAAAACAACATTTGTGAGCGGGAGGCTTTATACATCTATATACTCTCTCATATCATGTTCATTGTCTTCATCGACTTCCGGGTCACGGTCTTCGGGGGTTCTCGCTGGTTTTCAGATACAGTGCGAAGGATGGAAGCACCAGCCCCAAATCAGATCCACAAGTAGCTTCGAACCAACTTTCGATTTACGCCACTGTGACATCTTGCACCATTGTGGGCCGACCCCCATCGACCCCCAAAGGACAAGGATTTTGACGTTCGAGACAATGCCCTGACCCAATTTGTTCAGACCCATGTCCGAAGGATGGCCGATGGATCTCCATCCATAAACTCAACAGGGCATATTTATGTAATATCCTTAATATAACATCATTTACATTCATTTACCTTTAACTGAAGACTCAGGATAGACTTGGTAGGAAGGTACCCCAGGGTGAACGTGCAAAATCGTGCAAATGTACAGCTATGTTAGTGCAACTCACTCTGCAAAGGCATGTAAAAACCAACTATCCCTATCTTTTGCGCCCGGTGGCAGTGGGACAAGGCCGAAACATGACTTGCAGCAAGGTTGACCCTAACGTGTAAGGCCATCTTCAAATCTTCGCAACTCCTTTTTTCTGTCATTCATCACCCCATTTTTCGCTGCTAGTGACTCAGCATGAGAGTCACGTTGTGTCACGTGTCGCGAAGGAGTGTGCGGGTGTGAGGCTTCTGCTGGATCATTATATAGTGCTCAACATGACGCACTGTGGTATTCCTGGGTCCAATGGACAACATGTCATGTATTCTGTCATATTGTATCAGTATGTCTGGGAAAAACTTCACCTCGAAAAACCCCCACCATGACATTTCAATCCACCATAACTGAACATGAACGCAACGCAGATAATCAGGCCGCCCACATTTTTCCGGAGCAAAATGTTGCTTGTGTGTGTTGTGGATGTGTCGCTGTGGATCAAACAAGCATGTGCACCCCGGTCAAAAATCGCATAGAAAACAATTGCAGCGGGGCGCGCTTGAGAACATGTCTGTATATAACTTCTCTGACGGGCCTCATGGCCCATGACCTTTACTACCCTTTTCTTTACTGTACCTTTGCGGCTCTATCCCCTCAATTGCTGACAGAAGCGAACTGACCAAAACGAGCCCACAGCAAAAGCAACGCATCCACATGTGCCAAGCTGCGCGCTCCGCTGCCGGAGCCCGCGTCTGTGCAAGGCAGTATTGTTGTGGCAAGCGCACAATTTAGAAGGTGGGGGTATGAACAAAAGAACGGTTGCTTCGGTTACAGACATGCGCTACCTCAACTCATGCGGTGAGCCAGCGCGCTCCGGTCGCGGAGCGCGAATAGATCCACTGGTCACAGGTCACTCAAACTTTTTTCAGCCAAATATTCCATGTCCTTTTCTGTCTTTGTAGTTGTGGTTGTGCGTTGTGGTTGTGTGTAGTGGATGTGTCTTTGTGGTTGTGTGTGTGTTGTGATTGTGTCTTTGTAGTTGTGTTTGTGGTTGTTTGTTTGTGGTTGTGTGCTGTGGTGGTGTTTGTGGTTGTGCGTCGTGGTTGTGTGCTGTGGATGTGTCTTTGTGGTTGTGTGTGTTGTGATTGTGTCTTTGTAGTTGTGTTTGTGGTTATGTGTTTGTGGTCGTGTGCTGTGGTTGTGCATTGTGGGTGTGTTGTGGATGTGTCTTTGTGGTTGTGTGATTGTGTTTGTAGCTGTGTTTGTGGCTAGTGTTGGTGGTTGTGTGTTGTGGTTGTGCGTTGTGGTTGTGTGCTGTGGATGTGTCTTTGTGGTTGTGTTTTTTGGAGGATCACAACTGCGGTGCAGGGGTTGAACGTTATTCTTTTCAGCGGAGCACGTTGATCGATGAATTTTGGCGGATTGACCAATCTTGACCTGCTTCAAAATGTTCCCTCTAAAAGTCTGGGTCACGGATCAAACGTCTCCTTTTTTTGGCCCGCCCTTTCTGACTTAATCAAGTAGGCGCCTAGTTAATTAAGTACGGGAGTAAGCTGCTAGCTACTTAAGCTGCAGCTACTACACATGGACGCAGGATAGCTCACGCTTCTTCAAGGAAGCTCCCAGCGCCTGAGCCGCCTGGGGGAAGGGGAGTGCTTCCTTGAAGAAGCGCTCGCACTAACGGTTTGGTTCCTAGATTTTAAAGGAAGCGTACACAATAATCCTACTGAAGGACCCATGAGCACGGGCCACGCAGCAAATGCCCTCGCCTGGCATTCACAGTTGTTCTTTGATAGATGTGATGTGTCGTGAAAAACAGCAAGACGAAGGACACCCAGGCTCTTCATGCCCTTCTCCTCAGGCTTTTCTCGAAAAATCTAGATCAGGGCGAATCTGTCGTGAAGCCTCACAACCTTGTTTTTCGCTTCAAAACAGTGGCAAGGTCGACCACTCGAAGGGAACAGGACAAGTGGTCCCGCTCATCCGACCAACTGGGACCCGCAGGATTCTCGCACACCTGTCGAACAGATCGTTGGGATGTGGCACAACGGATCACGACGGAAGAAAACCAAAAGAAAAACACTCTGAAGAACTCCGGGATCCGCATTCTGTATAATCTGTATCAAAGGGAGGCACCTAACAGGTTCCAGAACTGTCTTATTGGCTTTACCACTGTCGTTGGCTGTTCGGCCCTCTTTTGGAGCAGCTAGACAAGTTCAGCGAAGTGTTCGCCCGAACTGCAAAGAGAGATACCCAGAAAGAACGGCGGTCGCCCTTTTTCTGGGCCACCAGTAGGCACTCTCTGCCAAAAATGATTGGGCAGCGGCTGCAAGTCCATTGGAGTGTCGGACGCACGAGTGAACAACCAGCAGGTGGATGCACGTGGAGAAAACATCTTCAAAGGAGCTTGTAGTTTGTAATGACTGCTGTCCCAGAAGAAGTGTGGAAGATACTGAAGAAATCTGAAGAATGTTTCAGAATATTTCATCCCAGACTCTGACCATTCTGGACCAGAATGAGAGGACAAACAAAGCTTTGCGAGTTGCGAACTCGCATCACCTATGTTTGACTCACCCGTTTTCCACGGGTTTCTTCACATGGTCTACTCTCCACCGGCTTCCTGACCAAAGGCTTCGATCGCTCCAACAAATGCTGCAGCCGGCGCAGGAAGGGCGCGATCCATCGGCCGCGGACAGAGCCGGTGACACAGGGGGTCGAGTTACGGGGTACCGTTGAATCCCAAAGAGTCAGAACCGTCGTCTCGCAAACGCACGAGCGAGGACCACCGGTAGGACCACTGGGACCGCGGTGTTCCTAAGTGACCCGACAAAGAAAGGCTCGACATGGACAGTCGACAGTCGCACGTCGGGGGCTTTCAAGAAGTCAATGGTGCTCAGCGGTGTAAAGAAATAACTATATCTAGATAAGTGCCCATGATTGGAACATCAAATAGTGCTTGTATCCAGCATTGTCCAGGAAGTATGCAGAGTCTCCATGGAAGTATTTGCCTTCATGGAAGGTCTTAGAGCTGGAGTCCTTCGGGGATGTTTTGAAAAAAAGGATCCAAAGGGTTTCAGGAACAGGGGCACATGGCGCACATCAGATCAGAAGGTCTCACCCGATGCTCCTAAGGTCACATCTGTTTCTTCATGGAGCTCTGCACCTGGATCATGTCGGGCAACAAAAAGCTCCGGTCGCTGCCAGCGGAAGAAATGGACATACCAGAATATACCAGACATACCATCGCAGAAAAAGACACAGCTTTGAGTGATTGTTCGTCGTGCTTTCCGTTGACTGTTGGGGAGCACGGTTGGGTGATCCCACACCTTGAGCGAAAATCAGTCGTGACGCAATACCCACCTTGACCTGTTGGAAGAACCGCCCTGTGGTGCCATGTTCGGCCGCTGTCCAACTAAAAATCCCATGGGACCCTCCTCACCTTCCCCCGATCCAGCTGGTGATTCGCTCCCAGCGGGGAGAAGACGGGAGAAACCTCATGAGTCTGGATGATTTCTCCTCTCCAAACAATCCAGTTGGGTCTGTGACATGTCAAGACTTAAGCACTTTCTTGGAGATGAATGAAAGAGGAGCTAACGAATTCCTCGATGTCGAGACTTTGCACACGC